TTCTTTATTTCTTTCTTGTCATGTTTGTTTCTACTGTCTCGTCTTTGCTTTTCTTGATCTTTTTTTACTATCGCTTCTTTTTTATTTTGCTTTCTTCCTCTAATCTTCTTTCCCATTTTTTGCTCTCTCCCTTCCGCTTTCACTTTTCCTCTTTTCTTATTTCTTTTTGCCTGTTGCTTTGTTTTACTTTTCTATTCTTGTAGTTGCTGATGATTTTTTCTCCTTTCTTCTTTTCATCGTATCTTTCTTGTTCTCTCTTGCTCTCCCTCTTTCTTTTGATTTCTCTTATCTTTTCTATTTCCCTTACTTTTTCTCTTTCTCTTTCTTCCCTTTTTCTTTCTTTTTCTCTATCATATCTATCGTTTTTTTCTTCCTACTGTCTCTCTTTTTTGCTCTATGTTTTTCTTTCTTGCTTGTTGCTTCCTTTTTCTATACTCTCTTTATGCTTTACTTGTTTCCTGCTTTTTTCCTTTTGCTATTATTTTCTTTCTATCCCTCTATTTCTTCCTCTGTTTTTCCTGCTTCTCTATTGTCTCTTCTGCCTTTTTCCTATTGAATTCCTTTCTTCTCTCTTTATTAATACCTCTTCTTTTCTCTCTTTTGTTTTTTATCTTCCTTTTTTCTTCTTTAGTTTTTTATTTTTTCTTCTTTCTTCTCATTTTTTTATTGTTATTTTCCTTTTGCTTCTTTTTGCATCTTTCATTTTTTATTCCGTTTTTCTTTATTGTTTTTATTGTTTTCTTTCTGTGTTTTATTTTTTTCTTGTTGCTGTTTTCTTTTCTTTTCTTGTTTCTTTTGCTTTTTATTTTTCTTTTCTCTTTGTTTCCTTCTTTTTCTTTGCTTCTTTCTAATTTTTGCTATTATTTTCCTACTTTCTTTTTTATTAATTCCTTTCTCTCCTTTTTGTCTTCTCTTTCTGCTTCTTGACTTTCTCTCGATTTTCTGTCTTTCTTTTGTCTTTTTTATATTTCTTATATAATGTCTTTCTCCTCTCTTCCTTGTCCCTGTCGTTTCTTTCTTTCTTTATTCTGCTTCTTCTTCTATTCTTTCCTGTTTTTCTGTTTTGTTCAATATCTTTACTTACTGAATCAATAGGTGTTTCATCATCTCTTCGTAATTTCATTTCAAAAGTTAAAAAATTATTA